GCGAACAAGTAACAACCTAGATATATGTTTACATCTTGAGGACTAGTGGTTCAAAGGATGTAATGGAACGCATTGTGTTAGGAATGTGAAATAAAAACTTTATGTTATTAAAGATTATAGGAAATTTATTTTATTTTTTTTGTAAACATATTGTGATATAATNAAAATTAAACAATAATATTTTGTATTAAGGGGCAACACCGTAACATACAGCCATCAGTTCACAATCGACAATATCGGTGACGTCGAAGCAACCGCTNTGTGCGACAGCAGTTGCGAAGCTCGCGGGATCCGATGTTTCAGACAAGATTGTAAAATAACGCGACAATCTGTCTTGCACGCGAATAACAACGTTGTTCAAGTAGGCAATGATGCATGCCACGCAATGTTTTAAGTTGAACAAGTTGCACATCGATTGGTGGGAAAGTAATATGCGACTGGTTTTTGTAGACAGACGTATGATTCTCGCGGTGTTTATCAAGCTGAACGATACCGCTAGATCGTCGACAAAAATTGACGGCTGCGCATCGCTCTGGCCAGACAAATACAACGAGATGACTCGTTCGTTATCCAACAACGTGTTCCACATTTCCGGCGACAAAAGCACCTCGTTCCCATTGTTGTCACCTAGAGCCACATCAACGGTTGGTGAAGCATCTTTGGATGAGATACCGATGCCGAGCTCGAAATATTTATATCCCGTCTTGGTTAATATGTACTTGCGACTCAGTATCCGCATAGGTTGTGTCGGTGTGGGTTGGATGCCATTGCATTGTCTGTGAATAAGACAACTAAAAACATGATTCTATCGTGAATTAAACAAAATAATAAAAATAGAAGCAACAAGAAAAGAATGCAAACAAAATACTTACCCTTGATCAAATTTCTTTCTCTTCACACCGTTGTGTTGAGGCTCGCGCTGAAGATCGATGGAAGGTTGTTATTGCTTCATCGGAACCATCGAGCAAAACATCGTTGAGCTGTTCTTTGCGAAGAGGAGAAAGATCGACAACCCGTAGCACACAGGACGATCACAACGAGGGTGAATGACTGATTGACTGTACGGTTGCAATGTAGCGGTTTATATATCCCTCACATAAAATAATAAAGCAAATACCCCCACTCTCAACGCGCACACATACTATATCTACTCTGAATGAAGAGCGTGTTCATACTTTTCGAGTTGAGAAACTAGGGACTTTAAGTTGTATAAGATGTTTATATCCGGACAATGAAGATCAATTAAACGCATATTAAAAGGTCCTGCAGAGTGCATAAAACTGGTGAATTCGCTGAACGCGAGATATCTGTCAGAGTACAGAAAGTACACAAAGCCATCTGCATTACGGAAGGCCAACGACATACTTGGTGGAACTCCCGGAAATGCTAGTTTCAATTTGTTGTATTCCTTAATCTTCACGTCACAATTATCTACAACGGCCACAGAGTCGTTGTTGAATATGACGTAGGTGTGTCCCATAGAAGATTGAAACGCAGTGTTAATGGCGGCATCGCTAGGCAATCCAATCTCAGAGAAACTGCGCGGCCAACCGTCTTGCAATGGTAAACTAGGATAGAAAACCAAGTACACATATCCATCGGTGAAGCACGAGCTCGCCGGATAATTGTTGATAAGCCGCATCCAGCTTTGTAAAATTGGATGGGAGAAAGCGCAAGTATTCTTTCAACAGATGTGGATAAATATGCGGGCCCCAGTTTGAAGAGGCTATATACACATATTTATCATACGCAATGATTGTAATAGTTTTCATCAATAGTATTACATCGGGATTGCGCACTTCGCACACATGTCTAGGTGGTAGCGGCGTAGGTTTACGCGGCAACGGCGGCTGCGGCGTCGTTGTTGTCGTCGTAGTCGGTGCGACCGTTGGAGGGACAAATGTAGAAACCGGTGGTAGATCAGGTGCATTCGGGTTAGGTCCGTAATGGTTTTGCACAGCTAGAACATCATCCAAGCTGAGCGTAACAAGCCACTGTTTAATAGGCACAAACGCGTACATTACCGAATTGTCATGTGGACTGTGCTCTATTCCTATAGCATGTCCGATTTCATGAGTCAGTGTGTGCAACAAATGATCCTTATTCCATGGATTTTTAGTGAGCTGCACGTGCCACTGTTCCTCATTGTCGATATGTATCTCAGAGACATGGTTGCGATCTCCGTTGGGATAATACGCGTGAGCGAGTACTCCACCTCGACCGTCAAAGTCAAACGAACACATAGTATCCGAGTAATGCTTATCCCACATAGTGTGCCGTCCACCTTTACATAAAATCATTATGTTAGGATCGTGTACGCTGCGTGTAAAAGTCAGCGATGAATTCGCTGCCCACAGAGCGAACGCTGTTTCCGCTATTTGTAGATTCGCTCTAGAAGCGAACAAAAAGTTCCATGTGAGATGAGTAGTAGGCCACTTGTGGAAGTACTCCTTGTTCGAGTAACGCGTTTGGATGTCTCGAACTCAACAACGCGGTCTGTTTATTGTGCGCATCGTTTCCGCGTTTAATTCACCATTTATAGGTAGATTGTAGAATTCTTGAAAAAGCGAGACAGCGTGATTCAACACGCTCTCGGAAATCAATGAGTTTTCAACAATGTCCTCTAGGTAACCGTACTTGCGTAGGAACGCGATAGCGGTCTCTCTTCCATCGACAACGCTCCTCTTTGTTGTATTTGTCATCGACCTCGTCAACGCGATCGACGTCGATGCCGCGAACGCGACGAAGAGCGCAAGAAACGTCAGCAACAACGCGAGCGACGTCATCGTCTTCGCGCGCAAACTGATATTAAATAACAGTCGATTGTCGCGCGGGTGGCGATTGAAGAAGGGAGGGCGCAACAATCGCAATAATTTACAGAACAAATAACACCAATGTAGTTAAAAAAATAAAAAAAAATAAAAAAAGTTGTTGCGCGCACGGTAATATACATAATTAGTACAAGGAAAACCGCAACGCGCGTCAGACGGCTGCAGCGGAAGATTAGAATTTACAGAACAAAATAATAATACTAATGTAGTTGCAAATAAAAAAGCTGTTGCACACATGGTAATATATAATTAGTACAAGGAAAACCGCAACGCGCGCCAGACGGCTGCAGCGGAAGCGTCAAAACTCTGGAAGTCTCGAGACGTTTTATATAGAGTTGCATCCGAAAGTTGCGGCTGATTTCGCAAATCCAAGACGCGCGCTAAGAATAACGCATAGACATAATCAGAATGCTACGGATACTGCGGAGACGCTCTACTGTTCTCAGTACTGTTTCTAAGAGAAATAGTTCTGATTAGAACGTCCTGTAGGATGTGTAAATATTCCACAAAATGTGTTCAACCGCATAATGTTAATGAAATTAAGAATTTGTGGAAAACATGGTGCACATGTTGGGGATAAGCATCCGCTGCAACAAACTATAAAAAAGATAATGCATACAGAGCAAATAAGTAGAAAGTTATAAAAACACAGCAATGGATAGACTGGACGAGTGCGTCGACGCAGCGGACCGTATCGTGGCTGCCGCTGAAGCTCTGATATATAAGACCAAACAGTTGGCTAAACATATCACAGAAGTGAAGAAGATCAACCAAACAAATACGGAAAGCGGGAAAGGGTTTTTCTTCGTGATTACACCGAATCCTATAGAAGAAGTGATCCTACTACAACAACTGTAAGTGTCACAAGAAAAATTAAAGAAAACAAAAGTAAATAGAATGAATAACATTACAATATATTAAATAAAAGTAAAAAATATATTAAATAAAATTCATTAACTTGAATACAGTAAATACATAAAATAAATTGAATATAGTAACTAATAAGAAGTATATACAATTAGTTATATATATATTACGTGTGTTGTGTTATTATTACAGATTTAACATACACCACCAAATTCATGTGTAGTGAAGATGTTACAGCAATGATGTATAGCTCCAAGGCCATTGTTCGCGACGGACAATATATACAACAACGGATCGCGGAGGATGACGATGCAACCAAATAATAAAAAATGAAAAATAAACATGTACAAACTTGAAAGATATACTAGATAGACAGTAATGTAAAAAACAAAAAAGTGAATAAACAAAACAAAAAAACAGAGACACATCAGAGCATATTATGTGTTTTTTATACCTCCCTAAACAGAAAATAAGTATAGATCATAAGAAGAAATAAATGTACACAACAATATATACGTAAATAAATATTCTTTTATTCATACGCAAATAGTGATATATAAATGTAAAATATATATAACGTTTAATTTAATTTAAAGAATGAATATATGGAGTACTATATATATAACAATTATTTTAATTTAAAGAATGAATATAAAGTTATATATAGTTAATAAACAATACAAAGCTACAGGTCGCTCAACGTATCGTTCCGTGTTGACCACCACGCGTATAGTTTACACACGTTCTCCATAGCGCAGTTTCTCGAGTGGTTTCCGCAGTTGAAAACTCGCGAATCGTCGAGATCGCGCAGACTATCGATGTCCTCGTAGTCGATGTCGATGGTTTCGATAATGATGTCACAATCGTTGACGATATCACCAACGATCTTTGTCAACCACTGCTTTTTATCGACACCTTTTACATACACCAGTGTAGATCCGTTGTTCGGTGCGCTTGACAGAGCGTTTCGAAGCAGCAGCTTCAATTGCTGATATTCCACCGTTCCATCGGTCCAGTGCAGGCTGTGATGGTTGACCGTGAGCCAGCACGCTCGCGTCTGCTCGGCTTTTGTCACCAGGTTCCACGACATAGGTTCTCGAAACACATGGTGAATCAGCTCGCGTCCGTTCCGAAGTATCGCCGCTTCCTTAGTTATAAAGTTGTTATCTCCAATCATAAAACCTTGAAGATCCACAAATATTGGTATGTCCACCGAGGAACGCAGCATGGTGGACATCGTTGTTGTCGACGCAGACAAAGTGTGCGACATCGTTGATTGTACGAACGCGACTGACAACTGCTCTAAACGATACGTCGCACGACGCTGGTCAGCGGGTTGTACTCGACGATACGATCGTGTATGATCAGACAGTACGCGGTTATGTCGGCGAGTACATTTTCTTTGCAGTTGAATTCAATGCAAACGTCAACGGTGGCGTTCTTGACCGTTTCGTTTTGGCGCGAACAGTCGATGACCACGAGCGGTCCGCAGTAGATGAACTTGTCCAACGTTAGAAGCGCCTCGTCCTCGTCGCATCCGTAGTAGGATAGTCTGAATTTGATGTACATGTCGTACAAAATGGCGTATCGTTCCTTACTAAAATCTAGATTCAAATCGTCGTAGAAATAGAAATCTGAATTCAGGAACAACTTTACATTTGATAAGTTGCAATGATCGAATCGCGAGCAATCTCGGCTGACAACATTCTCTCGGCCGGTCTGCAACGCAAAAATGATGTAACGCGGTTTTTCCAACTGTGTAGCCGCTTTTACAGCCTATGAATGAGATGTTGTGCTCTGTAACAGCGGATACTCATACAGATCCCACGAGCGAAAACCCATGGTCAGATATTGACCGCTCTCCAGAGTGCGCAACAGCTTCAATTTGTTCACNTCGTTTAATACAACGTGTGGCATTCGCCACTGCACCTTGTGCAATTCCACCGTTGGTCCGCTGTTAGCCGAAGCAAAGACGCTATTGTTGTCGTTGCGCAATCGTATCAGAATGAGTTCGTGTCTCGCGTTGATCACAACGCGTTTATAGTCCTCGCAGGATCCTAGCAATGTGCGGAAAGGTACGCAAAAATTGAATTCACCAGCACCTTTATTAATGGACAAGTTCCATCCCGCATGTCGCAGAACGTTTCCCGTTTCGCTAATTAGAGACACATAGTTCTTTAACGTGCTCGTTACACCAGGGTTGCGATTTCGATCGATTTCCACACCATTGAGCTCGTATCTGATCTCATCGGACATAAACGCAACGCAATTGTTTGTCAACGCGGCAACCACGCCGCTTCCTTCCGCTGCTCCAGCGGTGGTTTGCAGACTGAACTGTTCCTCGATGTATAAGTAACTGTCGGATGGTAGAGTGTAAACATCTTGTTGTTAAATGGGTATGCGTATCTCGTCGCTGTGACTAAACAATGTATTGGCGTATAGATTGTACGTGTGAGTCTCGATCTTGACAATACGATCGTCGAAGACTGGTTCACCACCGATGTTGAGTACGTCTTGTTTAGACCAACAATTACATATTTTAAATACATTTTGAATGCACAGTGTTTTACATGTTTTTCACATCGTAGACAATTCAAGACATTCAATTTATTTAAAGAAGCAATATCGTCGTAATCGGCATCCAATGTTTTAATAATTAATCCGTGTCGTACGTCACTATCAAGAATATCAGCTAGCCAGTTACATTTTTCAGGACCTTTAACATAGACGAGTAAAGATGCGTTGTCATCATTTTCTGCGGTGCCACAAATAGCTGTTTGTAATCTAATTCTTCGCTCTGCAATATGCAACACTTCCATCTTTCCAACACAGACCGTGATGATGCATCATCACCCAAGAAGCTGCTGACTTGTCTGACCTTGCAAGTAGACTCTACGGGAAGGGGCTTTTAAAAATGTAGTGCGAGAGAACAGTACCTCTTTGCAATACCGCTACTTCAGTGACAATAAATCTTTTTTCGACAACAAATCTTTGCACAAACATCGGTACAAACATGTTGATGTAATCGTGTGACCAACAAAAGACAAATGCTATCTATCGTCAAGTACTTTCGTTCTTAAATAATTTTCAGATTATAGAGGGAAGAAGCGCTTATGTCACAATGTATGTAATTTTGCGCACTACGTTAGTTAACGGGTTGTGTTCAACCACACAATCGTGCTGAATGAGACAATAGGCTGTAGTATGTGCCGGTATATTTTCTTTGCAATCGAATTCAATCCCCACATCGACGGTTGCACTTTTGACGTGAGCAATCAATGACCACTAAAGGACCACATTGCAGAAAGTTGTAAATCGTGAGATATGGTACGACAACACCACATCCGTAG